ATCAACTCTAATGTTTGTTATTTCTAAAGAACGCTGTAGTCATTGAGCAACAGGGATGTTTAGCTCTTCATTTATGTCTTCGTTTATACCTGGAATTGAACCTGATACTCCCGCTCCAATATCAAGCATCTAACTCTTGGCCATAATTAAGGATGATATAGATATGAAGGCACTGTGGTCTTGTGAGGCACAACAATCTCCATGTATAGTAAAATGACAGTACAGCTTAATTGACTTAACTTGTACCTCAGACTCCCTATAAGTGCTAATGAATCTAATTACGTTAAGCCTAATTGCTTTTATTTGGCCTCTCTTTTTATAACCTAACACAGGGATCACAGCTCAAGGGTATGATGTATGTCTGGACGGGTCACAGTGGAATTGTGTTTCGCATACCCTTAGAAAGCACGTCCTATAGAAGGGGCTGTATTTCAACGTGTCCTGTGTTTTCTGCTGAAGCAGAATGTGATGCTTTATGTAGGTAACCCAACACAATGCATACGTCTGCATAGTGCATACTTTAAATATTGCTTCACAGCCATTTGCAGTGAAGCTGCTTCTTAAAACAAGAATGCATCATTTTACTTGGTTCATGAATATTAATAGGTTGATGCAACCCAAGTCTAGCAACATCTGTGTCTTCTGTTAAAGAGCAAAAATGGGTCACATTTCATAGTTTAGCACCTAGAGAAATAAGTTTGAGCTTCATTTTACAACTTACATATGCAGTTGTTACACAGACCTTTAGTTTGCTTATGCAGGGTGTGTTTGCCTAACACACAAGGTACGGAACAGAGGAGTTGATTAAATATTTATTTTTTCAAAGCATTAAAGCAATGTAGTATAACCAGTAGAACGTCTGAATGTGTCGCAGTGAAAAATCTGTGCATTGCATTGTGTTTACATAAAAGAAACTGAATTTGAGAGTGTTCAGACTTGGAGGGGTTTGGTTTGAATAAAGCGATTTGTTCTGTTAGTGCAGTTTGTTTTAATACTGCCATCCAAACATTGATGTGCACCAAACAAACAGAGACCACTGAAAAGCCTTGGGTCGCAAACCAAATGAATTCTGATGTGGTTTGACTGAAATATTAATGCGACACGGACTAAAGACTTCTAAATGGACTAAAAACAGCACTTGATGTCATAAAAGTCAGTGGTTTTGTATATTTAGCTTCAGTCATAAAAATGAGTGTCAATGTTAAAGCAACACTCCACTTTTGTAAAATAGGCTCGTTTGACTTTCCTATGAGTTAAACCATTTGCATCTCACTCAAAAAATTGAAAAAAATATTTTGATAATTTTTCAATTTAAAGCTTGAATATTCTGTAATTTTCTAGCTGATATTCATTCAATTTCCTTTGGCTTTGTCCCTTTATTCATTTATCCAATATGTAGAGAACATGCAAACTTCACACGGAAATGCCAACTGGCCCTGACAGGACTCCAACTAGTGACCTTTTTGCGATGAGGCAACAGTGCTAACCACTAAGCCACCGTGTCACCCTCTAGCTCAAATGATTCAAATAATATGTTAATCAAAGGACTTGATACCATGGTACTGTGGCTGCAGCAGGTTCAAGGATATTTCACAGCTCTGTTACCTAGCTAGGGCCTATTTTTACATGCTGCATAATATCAATGCGCCTGCTGCAGTCATGATATGGCAGAAAAGTTCTTTGGTTCAGTGTTGTGTATAGGCACGGGACGATAACCATTTTTAAGGTATACCACGGTTTGAAATAGTCAAGTATTTTAAGATCAGCAGTATCTTCAGCAAAAAAGACATCAAAAATGCTGTTTTAATTTGTAATGAAATCTGTTTTTAGACCTAATTAGGACAGCAGAAGTCAACGATTCATTTGAATTATTTATCCTGACACGTTTTCTGTTACAAAATATTTTAAACGTTTCTCAAAATATTATGTTCAAAGGGAAAAAAAGTTTTAGTTTTTTACACAGACATTTAAAAAGAATATATTTTAAAGCAGTAATCACATACCGTGAAACTGTGACTTTTTTTATTTTTATTTTTTATCCAAGGTTATCATACCATCAGAATCTTATACCGGCCTATGCCTAGTTGTGTTCTCGAAACTTTTTTGTCTTAGTCTTGTGATGGAGTTGTGTGGATTTTGACTCGTACTCGTACTGTATATACTGTACTAGGAATTGGACTCAACTAAAATCTGCTCCAAGTCCTTTTCAAAATAGTTTGTTCTTATTGCTGTGTCCAATGATTGTTGATTTTCTTGTGTGTAACTTGAGCGCGTGGCAGCAATTTCTCTGAAAGCATTTAAAGAAAAAAAAAGAAGCGAAATGTTGCAGAATTTCCCATCTGTCCAGGTGGCAGGCCCGGATTAAGAACTCAGGGGCCCCTGGGCACATTGTCTTGTAAGGCCCCCTACCTGGCCGCACCCCTATAGTTGAATTTAAAAAATAAGAATAATATAATCATTTTTAAATAAAATTAATCTATAATTTGTTGCCCACATATTTAAATAAATGATATATAGTACATATGTATTTATAGTCTACAAAAATTTAACTTATTTTTCAAAGCATTGAATGAAAATACTAATAAAACTATATATATATATATATATATATATATATATATATATATATATATATATATATAATTTTATTATTTTTTTAAAGGTATTTTAATGTATTGCTTTTACAAACTTATAAAGCATATTATTGCCATGGCATATAACGCACAATGCTTCTCTAATACAGTTCTGAATCTGAGTCTTTCATAATACAAACACTGATTTACTGTCTCTCTCCTCCTCTCCCTGTATTTTCTCTACTCTTCTCGTGATGAAGACTTGATTATAAACCTAAAAGTATCTGAAATCACACACACTATACCTCTTCTCTCCCGTCTCTCTCCTCTTCTGGGCCTCTCTCTCTCTCTCTCTATCTCTCCTTTTCTGTCTGTCTCTCACACGATGAATCCAGTCCGCGCTGCGCTGCTGTTAGCCTCCTCCGCCTGGTTAATGCTAGCTACTCATTTAAAGTTACCATAACGTATTCTTCTGTACCCTCATTCTCTTGATCATGGGTCTGTTTAAAGATGGTGTGTATGGAAAATGCCTCAATAAAGATGCCTCCTGTCCTCTTTCTCTCGCGTTTGCTAAATCCACTTGTCCACTCATTTTTTATATATGACAGATATAACGTTACACTAAAGTCCGCTCAGTTTAGTGCGGGTTATTACAAAACTGACGTTTCCGCGCTTGACCATTCACAGCATTCTGTTTAGTTAACGAAAAAAAGGCAGTTTAAATATAATAATAATATTAATATGTGATCGCGAATTTTTTGCTCAGAGGAAATACAGTAGTCTGAGCAATATAGTTTTTGCAGAGAGGGAGACACCTATAATAAGGCTAAACATTATTAAATACCCACGAGACACTTGTGACTTATATCAAATTTGCATTAGTTTTAAAAAATATTTCCTTCCTGTTAAAAATAAATATATTTCCAATCTGATATGTAATGGGGAGGAAAAAAAGTAGCACGAGTTCAGCTGATGGTGGATTCGAACCGATGTTATGATTAATCGCGTCAAAAGATGATACTATGTGGCTTACAAGGTGCGCCACTGCAGCTGTGAATTTTTTACAGCTCTTTACTCATCTTGTCTCTATCAATCAGGTATCGATGAGCGTAAATCCTGAATAGCTTATTCCAACCAACTAGATGCGCTATTTGCAATTAGCCAAAAAAGACACTCCGAAATTGTCTTTTTTTCTCCCCCCTCGCAGGGGCCCCTAGTGCGCACGGGCCCCTGGGCCTGTGCCCATAAGGCCCATTGGTTAATCCGGCCCTGCCAGGTGGGACTGGGCTTTAGTACAAACAGGAATATGTTAAAATGAATGCAATAACATTTTATAATTATTCTTAAAAAACAATCTCATAGTAGTTTTTGAACAAATTTTGAAGTTTTATAAAATTATGCCAATTTATCAGGTTTAAATTAGTTTTTTACTCTTTCAAATTACACTTTAACTAGCATTAGTTGAAATGTAAAAAAATTCATATTATATTCTCTTTTAAAAAAATAATAAAAAATATACAAATGGACTCAAACTTAACTTAGGGTGCTTACACCTAGACTTTTGTTTCGGAACTAGTCTCGTTTCAACAGTTAGCACAGTTCATTTGGCATATGTGAATCCAGAAATCGCGCCCGAATACGAAAGTGAAAGCATGCTAAACTATTAACGAGAGCTGTTTATCCATTAAGAAAATTGACCGAATTGCCAAGGCTATGAATGAGGAAGTCTTGCATCTGATTTATATTTGTTGACTATGTCTGTGGTTGTCATCATTCATAATTAAAGCGCAGCTTTTCACTTATGTTTTATTGCTCATCGTTATAAATTAAAATAAGGATGCTTGACAGCTGAGCAGAAAAATAAACAGTGGAACTCTGACCAATGTGAGGAAAGTTTACTCGCACGAGACTTGTTTTAACTATTTTGGTCAGTTTAGAAACTTTGCATTGTGAAAGCAAAAATAAACATTCCAACAGTTTTAATCCCTGTTTCGAAACAAAAAAAATCGATTTACAGGTGTGAAAGCACCCTCAAACTCAGCCTTTTCTGGTCTTGACTTGAACTCTATCTGAGCATCTTAACATTTTTTATTGGTCTTAACACATAATTTAACTACAAAAGTTTTCTTTTAAGCAAATTAGAACTAATTGTATAATTTTTCTTTTTACTGGTTTGGACCAAATTAACCTACAATTGTAAAAGATCCTAAAAGAAATGTAAAATTTTAATTGAATTTAATATCAAATAAACAATTGCTAGTATATGATTTTTCTGCAGTAGAGTCTGTTGTGAAAGTCCTGCTAACATGTGAAGGACAGTGCTGGGGCTGAATAAGTCTGATGACACATCCTTGCAGGCGGTGAAACAGGCTGAGATGAATCTTGACCAACTCTATGACCAAATATAGTTGTCATTCTCTTTTACAGATCACAGACGTGTCCTTGCCAAATTATTTAGTGGCTTCCTCCGTGGGACTTCTCCCAACACAACTCCTTAACTCCTATCTGGGCACCACTCTGCGTACAATGGAGGATGTGATCGCAGAACAGAGCATCAGCGGATACTTCGTGTTTAGTCTACAGGTGAGCCTCACTGAGAATATGTTTGACCAACTCTATCTCATGCAATTTTGTACAATTTGCTTAAAATTTTTACCCCTCATGTAAAAATGTATTCTTTTTCAAATATTACCTTGGTGATGTTTAATGCAGAGGTTTTTTTTTCACATTTTACACACATTTTACACACATTTTACACACGATAGTATTTAAAGGGCACCTATGATGAAAATCATCTTTTGTTTGGACAGAACTGCGTGTATGTATTGTGTCTCCACAGTCATATTGGGGTGAAATGAACACAATAAATCTCCTTTTTTTTATTTACTAAATTTTAAAATATGATGCAAATCTCTGTCATCGTGAGGCCCACCGCAAAGTGACATAGGAGTGCGGTTTCCCCACCCACCGAATTGATTGACAGCCATGTAGTAACATGTCTCTGTAGTAAAGACAGTAAAATCGCTGTAATTCATCACCATAGCTGCGTGTCAGTAGAAATATAAAAGAATACGCTTCAATCACAGTTTTTGGACTTTAAATCAGGTTTATTTTGTACGTTAACAATGCATATCCATACAGCAGTGGATATTAACGTGTATCTTTTCACATTTGCCGTGTAAAAAGTGCAAAGTTAAACGTTCATGATGTGTGTGTGTGTGTGTGTGTGTGTGTGTGTGTGTGTGTGTGTGTGTGTGTGTGTGTGTGACTTATCCTTGCAAAAAGGCTTGAATTATCTCCACAACAAATACATCAAATAATCATTGGAAAAGTTCTTACTGTAGTATTTCTCACAAACGTTACGTGAGATCTGCTTCCTTCATGTCTGTCACTGTGCTGTTGATTTGACGCTGCAGGAGATGGCAGGCACGTGGAATGGTGGGCGGGGAGCACCAGCTCACTTGCATTAAAGGCACAGGCAACAAAAACAGCTACAATGTGTTCTGTTAAAAAATCCCAATATCCAGAAAGCTATAATAAATGATCTGATAGGTGTTTGGAGCTGAAACTTTACAGACACATTCTGGAGATACAAAAGACTTTAATCTTGAAAAAGGGGGAGAATAGGTGCCCTTTAATAAATAGTTTTTAATAACTTTTGTTTTGTGTTTGCCATGATACTTTACGAGTTATTTTGTAAGATACTAGTATTTACATAGTATTAACTAGGTTAATTAAGTGAATCTTTAGACAACAGTAGTTTGATCCTTTCAATAATACAAATAAATAAATAAAATCTGCTTTCCTTCTAGAAAAAAAAATCAATAATATAAAATTCGGTAAAGTTTGCTTGCTTTGTTAAACACATACATTGTAAAAGATATGGACATAGTATCCATGACGTCACCTATGGGTTTTTCAAGAACCCAGAAAAAGCTACCAGTAGGCGCGGCCAACCGTCATCATTTTGATTGCGTGTCATCGCACCAACCGAGGGATACCAAATAAGGGCAAAGAGGCGGAGCATAAGCGGAGCTAGAGGCATGCTGGCATTCTGCTTAGACAGGCTTTCCTATGGGAGAAACGTTGAACTCTTCATTACCTGCAACTCGTTTGTGTTCTGACCACATGTACTTGGTTGTATAATATATCAATAACGTGTTTAGTCTTTTAAAAACACTGTTGTAATACATTGAACCACTAAGCATTGTTCTTTTGATGTTTCTCAGCAGGAGGAAAATGTGATTACTTTCACATACTTCAAATATAGTCTGTGTTAGTAAATGCAAGGATGTTGATGAAATCCAGCATAACACTGTATGACAACACTTCAGATGACTGTTCTAGAGCCTACAGCTAATCAATATGTCAGATTCTGGAGTGCATTACAGGTCTGAAGATCATTATAAATGATAAATAATCTTAAATAAGACCAATCCATTTATAGAGATGGATTAAGTATATAATTTCACTCACCTGGGAAATGGAGGCCACATGAATGGTTTGTGAGCACAGTTAAGTGCACACAGCAGGCCATATTATCTGATAATTGTAAGAAATTATTCTAAAAGACAACTGACTGTAAAGCCACATAAAACAAAACAAAAACACGATGAATATGCAGAGATCAGCGGCTAGTAGGGATGTAACGGTATCAGAATTTCACGGTACGGTAATACCTCGGTATGAATGTCACGGTACGGTATTTATTGAATCATTTACAGGAAAAAAAAAACTTTTGAAAATACTCCAAAAAAGTGCCAAAAGTGTCAATGACATACAAATTAGCCATCTATCTGTTAGCTTTGAAACAGGAACTTCAATTTTAATAACAAAAAAAATATTAAACCATGTAAAAAAATAAAGTTTCAATTTAGTATTGTTAAAAACTCATCACATTTAACATTTAATCACTCACTCACTTAGATAGAGATGGGTTTAAAGGAAAATTATCATATAACTATAATCTGGTAAAAGCTGGTATCTCTGGGTATTTACAATGTCCCCTGCAACAGAAAAAACCCCTCTCATTTGGGACTGAGGATTCTGGGACAAGAGAGATATGACTTGGCCCATGTTGACAGCAGTGGGGTAACATTGTGCATTGTCTTTCCCCCACTTGAGAGGACAAACCATGAGTGAGATAGAGATCTCTTTGCGGTACAAGTCAATGTCTGCATCAATCTGAACAGTGTGCTGTGTTTCTGCAGTCCCCATGACTGTTATTAGTCGTATTCCCCAACTTGCAGGCACGTGCACACATAGGGCTCAACCTGTGCAGTGCACATGCCCTTTTTAGTCTTGGATAGAAAGTGCCCTTCCAAAACGATCAAAAGTGCCCCCGCGACGCGACACAACCTCCGTCCAGTCCAGCCCTTTAGTAGGCGCGCGATAACACCTCTCTTGAGTATGCGCGCTCAACCCCCCCTCGGCGCTTTACAATACGCGCGCCACAACACAGCTGATCAGAACGCGCGCGACAGCACCGCTATTCAGAACGCGCGCGACAGCACCGCTATTCAGTACGCGCGCGACAGCACCGCTATTCAGTACGCGCGCGGCGACAACACCCGCTTTAGGTTCGATCATTTCCATCTTTTTTTCATCTCCGCTACTAGCAGCACACTCCATTTCCGCATTACTGGATCTGTAGCGACAACAGACCGCAAAGGATTATGGCCACGCCGGGGCTGATGGGAAATGAAGTTTCAGCTACCTCCCGTTCGCTTCATTCGCCTGAGCAAATTTTCTCAGAAGACCTATAGTTTTACCGAGTCATGCGACTTCGGTAATATCGAAAAAATTTAATATTGCGGTATGACGGTATTTACAATACCGTTACATCCCTAGCGGCTAGTCTGCCTGAGTCAGCTTTTGTGAAGTGACGGCGACCAGCGAGAACTAGCTGTCACTCAAGTGGCCACGCCCTTAATTATGCAAATCTAATATAAAGGAAACAGATTAGTTATAAAAAAAATCACCCCCCTCACAATTGTCATGAAAGGTAATATTAGCTTTATGAACCAAAATCTCTTTGTAGCAGGCTGTAAATTCCTTTTTTTCTGTTGTAAAGTGGGCCTTTTAAACTGTGAGCTCTATTGACGTTTGCTCCATATGGAGCCAGGACTAGCAGAATTTCGATGAATTGCAGTTTCAGTTACTTTCGTATTGGCTTCCTGAGGGAGAGCAGGAGGTTGCCTTTTGGTTAAACTTTATTTGATAAATATTCAGAAAGAATTAAATTTAGTATAAATGAGTAGGGCTTATATATTTGCCTTCATTTGTGCTTGTGTGTGCACACACACATGCTAAATCTCTTAAAGATTGTAGCCCATGAGAAAATGAAATATTTATGTCTACTCTAGATGGTAGGGATCATTTTTGTGGAGCCTGTCGTAAACCATAATTATAGATGGTCACTGGCACAAAAAAGCCTTGGCCAAAAACGTCTCCTTGTTTTGCATGCGTGCTCGTGTGTAGTGAATTTATATGCCAGCAATAACATTCTTGACTAAAACAATCTGTTCTTACAAATTAGCCCATGAAATATTGCTTAAATTTATAACCACAAGCCTTATCGTCTGGATCCTTGTCTCTGCTCCATCAGCAGATCCGTCTGGTAATTGTCTGTCTGTTCTTCTCATCAGATCTTCATCAGCATCGGCCTGATGTTTTACGTTGTACATCGAGCACAAGTAGAACTGAACGCTGCCATTGCCGCCTGCCAGATGGAGATGAAGACGTCATACATGAACGGCAGTGCGGCGAACCACGGCGGATCCACATACTGCAGCAAACGGACTGCGGCTACAGGAGGAGGAATCAACGTGGTCTGATCGACGCTTTTCTTGTTGATGAACAGATTTCAGCGCTTCCTCCAGTTGCTCTTGATTGACTGGAGAAGATCAGCATCAGGGAGTTTTTTTTTTGTTGTTGTTTTGGAAATGTTCTGGTCTTTTTGAGGGCCGGCAATGAACTGTTAGAGCCGAAGAGATGAGGAAGTGGAAACGTTGCCCAAATATTGGGATCCCGGGCCAGTATTATCGGAGAAGTTGACGTTGAGATTTTTTTGCAGTACATTTAATGTATTTTTTTCTTTTTAAAGATCTTTTTTATGATACTAATATAAATTAAATAACTTTATAGAAGGTCTAAAGCATGAAATGGATAATTTAAATAATTCCAGAGAATGTTCTAGAGATGTAGTTAGATATTACAGAGGGCCCAACTAATATATCAGGTTAGTATGCTTCAGATGTTTGCTTTTTTGTTTGTTTTATATCTCTATATCTCTATCTTTACACTTATTTGGATAAAATGAAGAATTAGTTTTAATTTCCTTTGATACTTTTTTTTTTTAAGTATTGCTTAATAGGTTGTGTGTGTGCGTGTGCACGTGCGTGCGTGCGTGTATAGTAAAAAATATATATATATTATCAGTTAGCACCACCTGGATAATATTGTGGCTTTTGCCAAAACTGGGAACACTTTTGCTACTCGGCAGTTTTGTAACAGATGGGAAGGGAGGAAATTTTCTTAGCTGGATATTTAAGGATGTCCTGCCAAGAGGCTTTAGTACAGCGTGATTAGCTCAGCGGTGTAAATCGTACGTGTTCGATTTCTCATTCTCATATTGAGAGGACTGAAATTCTCTGCCTTCTTTCTCGTATGATTTAACCAAATGCTTTATTATAGGGCTGTTAGCATTTTCACTTTTGTTGTTGTTGTTAATTTATTCATTGTTAGAATCTCAATTCAGAACATTTGCACAAATGAGTTTAAGCTGAATATGTATGATCGGATTTCGAAATGTTGAAAAGTGGAGAGAGGGTAACATACGGCTGTCGAAAAAAAAGGAGATCACTTGAACATGGAAAACCCAAGTTTCTCTGGATTTATTGTGTGTTGGTAATATTTGTTTTATTCTACAAACATCTGCTAACATTTGATCCTAATCTCAAGTAAAGGTCTTGTCATTTTTAAATGAGTTTTTATTCATTTTTATGAAGAGTTCAGATGCAAAAACCTTTAACTGCCATCTGGAATTTTCTTCTACAGTAAGCATTTCTCTCAGCCTTTTATGTTTTTGTTTAGTTATTTCATGTTAGAAGTGATGAAACTGGCCAATTCTTGCCATAAAAGTAAAACTAACCTAAGAAAAATGCTAATTTTAAAAGAATGATTCAGGTGTTAGAGGTTTTTGCATCTTTATCTTTTATGATTGAAAAGTTATTTCAGCAAATGTTAATTCTCTAACTTTTTATTTATTTATTTTTTTGGTATGTTGTTGTCTAAAAATTTCAAGAAATTTTCAAATATGCCTTGTACTGTAGATGATGGCAATACATAATATTTGAATAGTTAGTTATTGTTATTAAATGTGAAATTTAAAAGTTGAACAACAGTGGTTTGACATAATAATAATAATAATAATTTCTTAATGGAGCTACACTGTTACAAATTCTGAAACTTACTTCAAATTCCCTAACATTGCATAATAATATTAATAATAATATTAATAATAATATAATTTTATAATAGAACTACACTGTAAAACAATCCTTACATTTACTTCAAATGTCTTAAAATTGCTTAATAATTATAATAATAATAATTTCTTAATGGAGCTGCACTGTAAAACCCAACAGTCAACTTTATGAAATAAAATGAGTGTAGTAAACTCAAAATTGACTGATAGTTCATTCTACTCATTTGAACAGAGTTTTGAACTCAGTGTTGAAGGTAATGAGTTAGTTAAAGATTTCATTACTTCAGCTTAAATGGAGCATTTGGTTTCCTCAAATGGTTTGAGTTGTCTTAACTTATTGGGTTTTACAGTACTCAATTAGTTTGAGTTCTCTTCATTTATTGGGTTTTACTGTGCTCAAATAGCTTGATTTACTTAAATGGTTTAAGTTTACAGTACTCATTAAGATTCGTTTTTGAACTTAAATGGTTTGTTGCCATCAGTGTCCTCAAAGGGTTTGAGTTATCTTAACTTTCCAGTTTTTACAGTGTAAATATTAATAGTAATCATTTCCTAATGGAGCTACACTGTAAAAATATGCATCTTTTTTGTAGAATCAAATAAACTTTTCAACTTGGATCAGCCAAACTGACTGAAAATATAAAGTTAAACATTGTATAGCTAAAAAATTGTTGAAACATGATTAACTAATGGAATTATTTTACAGTAACAAAAACATTTGTCTTTACTTTTTGTCAAATAATTAAGTCTTTTACAGTCTAATAATATTAATCATATCATACTCATAATATTAATCATAATAACACATTAAAAATATGTTTAACAGATAAATATAATACATTTTTCATCATTGAAAATCAAGCAAATTCTGGTTTCCTAACTCAAATGGAGTTAAACCTTTGCTATTGTGTTGTCTAAAAATGAACATAAACCTTTTTGATATCCATTATAAATTTGGAGGAAATGTCATCAGTAGTTTACGAAAAATAGTTTTACTCAAACACATAACTAAATTATAAATCCAGAGAAAAATTTCAAGGGGTCTCTTATTTATTTATTTCCATAGCTGTATATAATTTATGAGTGTGTGTATAAGGGAACATATTTTAATGTTATTGCATTATTATTCTTTTTATTCTTCTTCCTGAAGTTCAGTGTAACTCGCATCAGTCTAAACACAAGCTAAAATGACTCACAGTTCACCTTTATCTCCCGTTATTCTTGTTTCCAAAACTGCACATCTGCAAAAATTTCAGCTCAAGTCCTCCTCAGTGCAGTTACCTATTCTGAGCGTGAGGAGAACGGGCTACAAATAACTGACAAAACTGCAAACTACAGTCCAACGGTTATTACGTCAGTGCGGTCATGGTAAAGTCTGCCGCTGCCTCCACTGAGATTCACCTAATTAGAAACAAAAGACCTCCTGAGCATTGATTGATGTATTTGGGTCCCGGCTATATAATTTAGCAAAGGCTTCTGTTAACGAGCTCAGAGACACGGCATGAACTCGCAGCTTTTACAGCAGGAAAGTGAATCCCTCAGTGCAGGAGTTTCGCAGAATCCTAGTGCTTTGATTGTTTGTTTCATCTTCTCATTACAGTCATCCTTTCTTGGGATTTTTGCGCCATTAAATGCGTAATTATACTGTAAATACAACCATTCTCTGGCTGTTTATCTCTGGCAAGCCATTTAACTTTTTATTCTATGAAATGTACTAGTAGCAAATTTCATAATACTAGTATCTATTACTTAATATCTTATATTTTAGCTACTTGTAGGGCTGCACAATATATCGTTTCAGCATTGATATCGCAATATCTGCAAGTCACATCGCATCTGTAATGTCAATCATTTTAACATTAGATTGAAAGTTAATTATCCACATTTGTTTTATTTGTTTTGTCATTATTTCTAGCTAATTTAAGCCATTTGGACACAATAAAATAAATGTTTGTAGCGTAGCAGTTAATTTTATATAATTATTTATTTCATTTGTATATTTGCATATTATATATAATTACAAAACCATCCCAGTCTATCTAAAATGATGACTTCTTTCCTACTAGGGCTGTTTTTGAAACTGTATTCCTTTTTTTAAATATCGTGCAGCCCTACTAATGTTGTAATCCTGGAACCATTCACATCCAAAGTAGGAAAACCAAATACTATGGATGTCAATATTTAGAGGTTTCTAACATTTTTCAATTGATCTTATTTTGTGTTTAACAGGACAAGAATTATCTAACTGGTTTGAAACAATCTACTGAAAAAACAATGACAGAAGTTTCATTTTTGGGTGAACTATCCCTTTATTATTAGAAAATTTGAAGACAGTATTGAGCAAAAAAAAAAAAAAAAAAAAAAAAATATATATATATATATATATATATATGTATATATATATATATCTTTTTTTAACTGCAGTAAAAAAAAAAAAATAATATTTGCAATTAAACTATTTTTTTTTAGATATTTGCAAAGCATTTTTTATTGCATTGCATTTACAAAACCTGTCTAGTCAATTGCAGTGCTCATTTTGATTTGCTTTTTAGTCAACCGTGAGTTTGTGATGTTGTTTTCACTGTTTGCACTTCACCTTTCTGTGCGTTTCACTTTGTGGTCCTGATTTGACAAGGGGTAAGGAGTCAAGGGAACTTGGGCGTTTACCGCAGACCCGGACCTCCTGGGCTGTCCTCTTGTTAAATCATGACGTATAGGTGACGTATAGAATACTGTATCCGGGTTCACGCTGCTACTCATTTGTATTGGGAAAATATTCATTTATGGACACTTTTTAGTTCGGTCAGGTCCGGGTTGAATATATGCAAATATTTACGTTTTATTGGTTTATTTATTTATTTTTTGCACTGCTTGATTTTTATTTGCCGTTCTTTTTTGTTTTCTCAAAACTAAATTTCCTGTTGCATTTCTTTAATTTTGTTTGCAAAATTCATGTTTATTTCTCAAAACTTAATTTTCGCCTTGCGATTTTTGGAGATTTGCATTTATTTATTCATATTTATGCTCAATACTTTGTTTTTTGTTTGCAAAACTTTATTTTATTTTGCAAGTATTTATGGCTCTAGATTGACTCTATAGCCGCTACTCATTTGAATTGAGAAAATATTGATTTATGACCACTTTTTAGCCATATGTCACACATTATGTATCACTTTCTGGCCATCTGATATTAGACATAAATATTGCGATCATAATTTTCAAAAGTATTTAAGTGCTTTGTAAACGTTTATTATTACTGTTTGTTGAGTCTCAGTTTAATAGAGCGCTTGGACCCGGAAGCCGACAAGCGAATATTTACTCACTGTAAAAAAAAGTTGACTCAAGGCAACTTGCTGCAGAGCTTTTTGAGTTGACGCGACTTAAATCGATTCAAGTGCAGTACCTGGGTTAAAAGAGTCAATGCAACAAAAAGGCTGTGGAGCAAGCTGCCCTACAAATTTCAATTAGAGTCAACTTTCTTTGCACATTTCATTAAATACTAGTAACACTTCGACTGACCAGTATTATGATTTTTTATTTTACTAGTAATATTTTTAATTTAATTTTCATTAACTTCTATGGCCATTCAGAATAGTCATAACAAAAGGCAAGTTTAAAAAAGCACTTGTGAGATAAGAACTATTATAAGTGCTCGTATTGACTGATTTAAAAGCACCAGAATTGAATCGTTTCTGCACTGTAAAAATGATAGGATCAATTAATCCTGACAGCTTTTGTTTTTAGGTCATTGTAACTTATTAAACTAAGTTAATCATCTTCTAACTTAATTTTATAAGTTACACATAATACGCCAGCTGTTTTAAGTCAGTTCAACATAATGTAAGTTGAATGGACTCATAAGGTTAATTTGATTCAACTTAACATTTTAAGGCAACCAGGATTTCTTAGTGTACTAATAAATAAAAACCAGGTGTTACTAAATGAAAACAAGTTTCCAACTCATCTGCTTGATTGCATGACCACCAAGGCTGTTCAACAACAACAACACAAAAACTCCTGCTCACCCCAGAAGTGACCTTTTGACATAAAATAAAAGTCCTCTTTTCTTTCCATGTGCTGCATGCACATTATTGTCATAATCAAAATCTGAACATAATACTAGGTACTAGTATGTAATTAAAAGCTGCTGCTATTTATAAAAATATGTACTAGTCTAAATTAAAATACATATGAACAAAAGTAATTCGCTTCTATTAGCATAAATTAACTACTAGCATAAAAAGAATAGTAACTATTCACAAAGATCAAGTGTTGACTTAACAGCCACTAATATCTAATGAATGAGTATTAGTATCTTGTGAATAAGTGATAGTAGTTAATGGAAAAAGTCGTGTTTTCTTAAAAAAAAAAAAAAAAGATAAATACTAGTAGCATAAAAGTAGATACCTGTGCATTTTGTAGATGAAAATGGTTTGCCAGAGTATCAGTAAAGAGATTAAGAACTCCTAGTTTGTCATTGTGAGCTTTTGTTTATT